GTAATAATCCCTCATTGCACACAAAAGCTGTGTTCGCACACAAGTATTGTAAGTACGGTAGGTCAAAGTTGAAGAGGTAAATGGATCAATAAACTGTGATGTATGTTTAGAGTTTGGACAGTTATTTTACAGTTCACCTTTGTTTTCTTTTCCACATAAATTTGGCTCATCTGTTGGATTGTTTACAACCTGTCTGATCATCTGACTGATCGTGTTTCTTGACCTGTCTGACTTCTTTTTAGTGATGCTGATGCTTTTGCAGTCCTCAACAGTTAACTTGGTGAGTAAAATGTCATTAGGACTGATGGCAAAAACAACAAAAACAAGACAAGGGTGAAATAGACTGGAATAATCTATAAACTCACAGTAGTTGTTTGAATCCGTCACTCTGGAACTCAAACAGAATGCGAACATATGCAGACATTTGCATTAGTGTTTGCTATTATATTTCCGAGTAAGATTGAAATGCGCACAAGGCAACAGTCCTGCATTTACTGAACCAAAGCACAGGAAAGAAAATGAAAAAGAAAATTTTCTACATGCAAATGTAGAATATGTATGAGCATTAATGTTTGGGGTCTAGGCTCTGACCTCGTCAATACTCTGTGTCGGAGTCGGTGGAGTGGGTGGATGCGGGGGTGGAGGTGGGACTTTTGAAATGCTGACAGCATCAACAGCAGTAGAAGAAAGCTGCAACATAGATTTCAGGTGAGCAGTGTGGTAGAATCAGCAGCGCACTAAGGGCTGAAATACCCCACGATGAATGAAGGGTATCTTGGATATTTGTTGCAGTGAGAGAAGTATGCCGTGAGAGTGTAGCAGCAAACTTCTTGCAGGCTCCGGTTCATTAAAAAATGTCTCACATTATTCCTCATAACTTAGCATGGGTAGTGTTAGGTAAATCATGCTTCAGATTAATATGTTATTTAGGTTAATTGAGCAGGCTCAAAAAGCGATTTCTCCCTAACAATTTTTTGATGACTGTTCTGTTCAGAAGTAGGGTCTTTTGCCGTGTTTCCATCAGCGTATTTTGAAGTATCACATTAGAAAAGGTTGATGGAAACGTCAAATTTCCCAAAAAAAAAAAAACAACGCTTGAGGTGTGTTTTGCCTTTGTCAAAAACTGTTAATGCACTAAATGGGAGATTGAAAAACACTTTTGCCAAATAAGTTCTGAACTTGTAACTCACTTCTGATCAGCTGTTTCCGCTGTCTGAGTTTTGACGGATATTCCCATCACAAGCGGAGACATGGCTGGTAGCAGTTTGCCCACTTGGAACGCATTCCTGAGGACGTCTCTCCATTTTTCTAAGATCAATGGCCAGCAGTTCCCTGCAGCCGGTTTTGTTTCTGGTTTGGAACCCATACGTCTTATTTATTGCAGCCATGTGTAACCTCAACTACCAAGGTACCTACGATTGCCGTAGCCTGGTTTATTCGCTCCAAACCAGCTGATGGAAATGCACCTATAACAGTTTGAAGTGAAGTCTGTAGTTCTCCTGTTCAGTTAAAAAAGCACCATCACTTTGCCTACAGATTCCTCCGCCAGTGGGCATTTAGCTCTGGTGCAGCAACATTGTAAAAAAACATGAATATTGTAGGAATTAATGAATGCGATAATATGTTGCAGTGAACTTCATGACTCTACAGTGTGGAGTGGCTACCATCATCTTGCAGTTCTTCAAACCAAAAGTTGTCTGTCTCAGCCTCAGACCTGATTTGTCTGTCTCATCTCAGCCATGACTCTAATTCCAAGCTCTCTTTTCTTTTCTTCATTTTTTTTGTAACCTACTTGCAGCTAATAGCCACATCTTTCAAAACCCACAATGAGTGGAAGCTGATGAAAGGTTTCTCCTCATAGTTACCTAAATTAGCTTAGTTACATCCCTTAGGAGAGTAAATTTGGACATTCAGAGTAGGAAATGCACAGACCGGGGACAAATGAATGGCGGAACCAACATAAAGTGTTTAAGTGAGGTGTTTGTTTCACCATGAGCTTCAAGAACAGCTTATGCGGAATAAAATCTCCAGGGATGAACACCATCCCTCCAGAAGATAATCCCTCATTTGGTCATGTGATGATAATGATGGTGAAGAGCTCTGCCTAATATGTTGTTCCAAAATCTCCCACAAGTATTAAACTGTGTATATATCTAGTGACTGTGAAGTCTTTAGCATATGATTCACATCCATTTAACTTCCCATTCACAAATACTAGAGATACGACAGGCTGCTATTTACCATGACTGGAACCCCCAATTTACATTGCTCCCAAGGATTCAAGACTCTAAAGCCATCCAGTGGCACAAAGTGGAGAAGTTGAGAAAAGTTAACTTTATACAAATGTCTTTTGACATGGCGGAGCGACAACCTGCAAACAACCAATCACACTTGTTTTGATTCCCTCAGGAAACAGAAGCACAGCTGTTTTCTACTCCAACTCAAATATGAAAAGCACTTCAATTAAATGTAGGAAATGGCTTCCCCGCTGAATAATTAAATAACTTTAACAAGCTACAACAACTTGAGAATTACAATGCGTGGAAACACATCACTGGGGAAATGTTGGGATTTGGTTTAGTTGCAACTGGAGAAAATGACTGTCCAAGGATTGAGTGCAACTCTACCACCAGACAAGAATGTCAGTATTGGATGATTCTGCAAAATCGCAGATTAAATCCAATGTAAACATTTTTAAAATTATCACTTTCTACAATATAGGGGTGGCACGGTGGTCTGGTGGATAGCGCTGTCGCCTCACAGCAAGAACGTCACGGGTTCAAACCCCAGTTGCCCTGGACTTTCTGTATGGAGTTTGCATGTTCTACCCGTGTCTGCATGGGTTTTCTCCAGGTGCTCCAGCTTCCTCCCACCATCCAAAGACATGCAGCCTAGGCTATGTATGGCCCAAACTCTGGTCTTCTGCATGAAACGTGGTCGATCTCCACACCCTGATAATCTGCCTCGCTCAACAGCACAATACTTTCTGCATTTACTCTGATGTAAATCGTTACGTGCCGAATCACCCACTATGTGTGTAAATCTTGGAGATACTGGGCCATTAACTGAGCCTGCCACAAAGGTCCTAACAGATTTCACGTGGGTAGCTCAGTACCTTTGAAAGAATGAGCAGATAGATTTAGTCTTGCTCATCAACAGTTTAACATGCCATCTTCGAGGTTTTGTCAGAGATCTACATGTGCAGCTTCAGTTATGCGTCACATTTCCGTCCGTACCATTTTGTCTATCACGGTCAAAGCTACTGTGATTCAGAGAGCAGCTCTGCTCTTCATTTTAAGGTGGCAGCTACTTTCACATCATCTTTCACAAAACGCTGTGTGGATGACCTGTGGCTCACAAAAACAAGGGAAGGTGAGAGTGAATATGGACTAAGCCCAGCAGCCTTTGAGGGTCTCAGGCAAGAAGCCATCTTTATCCATCACACTTTGTCCGACTTAAGTATCTAACAAGATAAAATGCCTAGATCAAGCCAAACAGTCCGCTGGCCTCAGAAATAGCATCATGAAAACTGCTGCCTCAGCAGTCTATGACCTCAAAATGGTGGAAGCAGGAAAACAGTGCAGCCAAGATGATTTTTTTTCTACTACTACTAGGGGCACAAGGTCATGCAAACATGCTCAAAATTTCAATAAACACAGAATATACATTGGCACAGTTAGCTTGTCAGCTTAGACAGAGCTCTTATAGAGCCACTGCACAGCTACTGTTCATGGAAACACTAGACGCAAAAGAAAAATGACACCTTAGTTTATATTTTAGAGATGTTAGATGACAGATATCCGACAAGGTGTCTCACTTTGATGCTTAGTGGAAGGAAAAGGCAAGGGGGGAAACCGTCCCTACATATGGAACTAGCTGTTTCATGCATTCAAAGCACTTTACAGGAGTCTTTACAGCTAATGTCACACTAACCACCTGCTCTCACTCTGCCATACTTCAGCAAAAATCACGATATAGAAAAGGGAGGCATGTATAGTGTGTTCACACTACATGACTGGAAATTCAATTCAAATTGTTGAATAATATACACACAACCACAGACACACACACACACAAGTGAAACTACATCATTATTGCTGCTAGTAGTATTTTGTTTTCCAACATGCTTTGAGGAATTGTGCTTGTGTCCTTTGTGGTGGTAGGGGAGGAGGTGGAGGAGGATGATGGAGGGGTGCACGCTCCTAGCTCTGAATCCCAATTTCCCCTGTCTGTCCTGGGGAGTGATCTTCACACACAGCCTGCCACACCAGCTGCTGATGTGGGCACACAGAGGACTGATCCTGGATCTGATAGCTGCCCTACAGCTAATAATACTGAAAGGGGAGGAGGAGGGGAAGGGAAGGAGGGGAAGATTTTGGGAGAAGAGGAGGGGGGGGGGGGGAGCTTTTAGTTTCCTCGGTGTGGTCAAGACAGCCGCTGGATAGGGCATAGCGCACATATGCGCAACAACCGGTTGGGAAATTGCAGAATGCAAATGCCTGTTCAGTGAGATTGCAGGCGCGCGGGGAGACATGTATGCGGGTTTTCAGAAATGTCACATCTGAATCACAGCTGCCTGCATCTGTCTGTCATTGACTGCAAGTTATGCACTGACTTCATGCGTGAGAGAAAGAAAGATAGAGGAGGGACTGCGCACCGGACCGTACATGTGTGTCCGCGTCTGGGTGAAAGACAGTCATACACGGCCATATCGGCGTGCACGCGCATCAATGACAGAGGGGTCAAACCCTAGCGCACCGGCCGGCTGCGTCCTGTCAGTCACTGCGCGAGCCAGGGTGAGTATCCCGGGATGCACATACATGCACAGCAAGCCCTGGAGAAATGCAGCAGCATCCCACATCAAACAGTCGGAATGTGAAGGGCAAAGCCGGAGACAGTTGTCTGAGACACGGCGCAACATTTTCACCTTCAGCGTAAAAGACAAGAGAACCAGGAGACACAAGGGGGTCCAAAATAAGACATGAAAAGAATTTACTCACTGTTTTCAAGAGCCCAACACTCTTCTTCTTCTCTTTTTGCTCTCCGCGTCTTCTCTCCGTGCACCACAATCCATCCGTCCATCCCTCCGCTGGACATTTCCTGCGGCATAGAGCCTGATCGATTCTAATGTTGCGGGATAATGTCCTCGGGATGAAACGAAAACATGTCACCCCCCGCAAAAAGCAGATAATCACGCGCACACACAGTTTCGACCTATCCTCCACTCAGCGAGGCTACATGTTGCTGACTGCTATACTCTCTATCCCTCTCACTCACTCTCTCCTCTCCCGTTATTTTGTTAAAATTCAGTATGTACTCTCTGTCACCTAGCAACGTCTCTCTACCTCCCTCTCTTTATTCCTCCCTCCCTCCTTCTCTCTCTCCTCATCACTTCCTCGCGACACGTGTTGAATGCTAAACTAAGTTGCCAGTTGTGGGATGCTTTTTTATCTTTAACTAAACATTTTTTCCCCCCTTTCTTTCATCCACCATGTCTTCTTTTCCCCCATCCCTTCCTCCCTTTCTCTCTCATCATTCCTCCCTATTTTCCTTTCTTCTTCTTGCCCTGACCTATCTGCTTCCTTTCCTTCTTTTCTCCAATCCTTCTGTCCTCCCTCTTTTACCCTTTATCTCCTCTTACTTCTCTGCCTACCCTCTCAAATTTGACAGCAAGTCAACATTTGTGTTACCCAAAGCATCCAGTGAAGAAAATGAGTGAAACAAAAGTGATGACATTATTAAATCTGGAAAAGGAAAAGCTTGTAGTGAACATAAAATAAAATTTGTGGGCATCTTATGCTCTTTACTCTTATGTTATGTACATTTAGACAATAAATCTATTCATCAATAAAGTATTTCTGATTCTGAATTAATTGCTCAGCACAATTTAGTCATTTTACAGTACAAAACTATAAACTCTTGATGATAGCAGCATGACTGCTCATCAAGCAGAGCTCTTTTAGCTCTTGTGTGTAGCTTTTCTGCATGTAATAATTAATTAATCAATTAATCCATTACTTAGGCGTAATTAAATATATATATATAATATAATTTAATATTTAAATAAGTTACTTAACCATGCTGGTGAAAAGTAACAAAGTAGGCTTACACTTAAGTCCTAAAGCTCAAGTCAAAGTCTCCTAGCTTTGAGTATTTCCATATTTATGCAACTTTATTTCTACTCATGTACATTTCAGAGGGCAATATTTTACTTTTTACTTTTACATACCTGACAGGTTTAGTTACTAGTTACTTTCATTATTCATCATAAAAAACATTTGCGCATCCTCTAGAATATGATTCACTCTTATAGATTACCTACTCAGTCCAAAAATACGCAAATAATACTGCTTACATTTACATAATATATAGATTAGTCATAAAATCAGATAATATAATATTATTTAGTTATTATTATATATAATAACAATATGTATCAATATTAATATTAAGAAATATTATATATAACAATGAAAGGATTTACTTTTGATATTTGAGTATATTGTGATGATGATAATTGTTGTTCTAATTTTACAATATATGTTACTTTTAATTAAAGGATAAAACATTGAGACAAGGTTAAATTCATTTGCATAAAAAATGGAATGTGTAACTTATAGCGGGAATTTGTGTTTATTTTATGATTTTAAAAACAATTTAATGTTTAAATATATTCATTTGCATAAAAAAATGTAAAAACATATATAAAAGAATATCTCTTAATGCTTTTAAACTTGGCCAGCTTGTGCTGCATCCACACTGCTTGCAGGAAATAAAAGCTTGCTTAGCTACGTTTTCAAAGCCTATTAGATGAGCTTGACCTCTGCATTGACTGCTAGCTTTGCTTGTTACAAGTAAATTAAACCATTCATAGCACAAATTACTTCAGTTTATTCACCTATTACTTAAAAGGTACAATGTGTAATTCCTGACCACATGCTCCAAACACGCAGGGGGCAGCATTCCACCTTGTGCAAGATTTACTAATTGCAGCGATGCACCGTTTAAGATTGTGTACAGTTAAACACACATAACAAACCTTGCAATGTCCTCAGAATTGTTCAGTGAACTTTCCAAACTTCCAATCTGCCTCATCTCATAACAGTAGTGGTTACAATATGGTGAAACAATCGACATTTTTTCAGTCCGTTTGCTGGGTCCAAACAATCTCATCACTTATTTTAGTTAGTTCAAAAAAGCCAACTACTAACTAACAGCAGAGCAAGAATACGCAACATTCATCCAAACTGCTGAAATTCCGAGAGACGCTCAAAATAACACTTCTATCTTATTATGGTGATTTTAAATCAGCATTCAATGCCTGTTAAGATGATTAATGAGCTGCTGTGAAAAACATGTACTCTACTCCTCTCACTGTTGCTCAAATTCACATTTGTTAATTTCTCCTCCTAATTGTGGCAATAGCAAAACTTTTCATTCTTGCCGCCTCTCTCTCCTGCCCTGAGGGGGATGGATGATAATTACCACTGAGGTTCGTTCTTTACAACAGAGTCTGCAGCTTTTTTCCCCCTGTTCCCCACTTTAACATATTCCCTTCACATTCTTCCACTAAAGATAAGGACAGTTTTAGTAGCTCTCAAAAAAAGAAAAAACTCTTTGGCCAATTAGCTTAATCAAATATCATTTGTATCTCCACAAATTATTACCTTCCTCTGTTGTCAAAATTACTCTGCTTCATGTGTAATTATTACAGAACATTGTCATCATAAGCCATTTGCATGAAAACTGCATCGCTGTTATCACTTACGCGATCAAGCACTCGAAAGCCATTACTTTTTTAATTGTCAGTGTTGGAATTTATTTTTAGTGTTTTGCTGGCATTGTAAAGAGACAGAAAGCAGTAATTCCATCTATTTTTATGTGCTCAAACCCTCGCCTTGTTCAGGACAGAAGGGTGTATGAAATGATCTCTGAGGCTTGCTTTTATCGTCCACCAACCCATCATCGTTAATGGACGTGTGTGTGTGTGTGTGAGCAAGACAGAAAGATAAAGACAGAAAGAGATGTTGTTGTTGGTGTGTTTGTGTGTGTGTGTGTCTTTTTCCTTTAAACACTCGTTCTTTCCCCAGCTGCCATGGTACATGTTGTTTTCTCGGCACAAATATAGAAAAGACGAGCGGCAGCCGGTCGCTCGGCCAGTCAGCCAGCTCGGAGACATTTAAAAATAGGCCCTAATTATCAGAGGAAGGCTCAGACGGACAGACAGGCGGCCATCTTGGTTCTTGTTTACGCTGCGGTGCTGCTGTTGTAAATTGGACGCTGGAAATCGACTTCTTGGCTCTAAAAAGCCTGCCTGCCAGAGTACTAATAAACTGGAGAGGGACTGGTGAGGAAAAATACAAAGAGGGCAGCACTCAAACACACGCTCAGATTAAGACACAGCACAGAGACAGGCATGCAAACACAATGATGTGTGCACCGCACTTCAAAAAATCAGTGATCACAAAACAATCTGTGAGATCCTGGAATGACAAACATACACTCATGCCACTAGCATGCAGAGAGAGTGTGTGTGTCTTTGTACAAGTGGGCATTTATATTCTGCATTCATTCAGCAACTGGGCTACAACTGTGAGAAAATGACCACCACAGCTCAAAGAAATATGAGAATGACGCTCGCTCAGCTTTAAAATTCTCTTCATTGTTAACAACAGTTGAAGTTTCAAATAGTAGCATTTCATTGCTGATTTCTTTCATTTGGTCTGGGGGTATTGTAATGTCCATAATATGTGTATTTGTGTTGATGGCCGAGCATCTCCATCTGAAAATAACCTTTCTCTTTGACCTGCAGGATGGTTTTTTAATAATGTGCTGGATAATATGTGCTCTATTGCTCCCACAGATGATGATCTGTAGTGGTTGGCAGAGGAAAAGGTCTGGAAAACGCTGCTCCTGTGACCTGCACTGAGATCGAAACCCTGTTTTGATGGATGGTCAAAACAGAAGCCATTAGGTAGATGTATTATTAGCCAGGGATACAGTATTTCAAGGGTTTGTTTCCTCACTTTGGCTCTGATGAATTCAATGAAATATCTGACGCCAGTAAAGCACAGTTGTTACATAAGTTTAAAGCTGTTTAAAGGTTAAAGGTCCTGCTGATGTACTTCAGAATTCTAGGTCATTTTTTCGTTTGTTTGTTTGTTGTTTTCCTCCTGTGGATAAACATAGAATATGTCACTTCACATCCAGATATTTCTGGCACCTACAGTGGAGTTTAATAGTGGAATGTTTTTCAGCGGGTTTATAGAGAAGGGATTTTATAATGTGCTATATTAAGTTGAAAAGTTATTTTCAATATTGATTGTCATTTATGTTATACAGACATTCATGGTTCTCACAATGTGATGACTTTAGTTATCCCCTGATTTTTACCCTAGCGCCACCACGAGTTTGACTTTTAGTGAACTGTCTCAACAACCATTGGATGGATTGCCATGAAATTTGGTATACCAAATCTACACTCACCTAAAGGATTATTAGGAACACCATACTAATACTGTGTTTGACCCCCTTTCGCCTTCAGAACCGCCTTTATTCTACATGGAATTGATTCAACAAGGTGCTGAAAGCATTCTTTAGAAATGTTGGCCCATATTGATAGGAGAGCATCTTGCAGTTGATGGAGATTTGTGGGATGCACATCCAGGGCACGAAGCTCCCGTTCCACCACATCCCAAAAAAGCTCTATTGGGTTGAGATCTGGTGACTGTGGGGGCCATTTTAGTACAGTGAACTCATTGTCATGTTCAAGAAACCAATTTGAAATGATTCGAGCTTTGTGACATGGTGCATTGTCCTGCTGGAAATAGCCATCAGAGGATGGGTACATGGTGGCCATAAAGGGATGGACATGGTCAGAAACAATGCTCAGGTAGGCCGTGGCATTTAAACGATGCCCAATTGGCACCAAGGGGCCTAAAGTGTGCCAAGAAAACATCCCCCACACCATTACACCACCACCACCAGCCTGCACAGTGGTAACAAGGCATGATGGATCCATGTTCTCATTCTGTTTACGCCAAATTCTGACTCGACCATCTGAATGTCTCAACAGAAATCGAGACTCATCAGACCAGGCAACATTTTACCAGTCTTCAACTGTCCAATTTTGGTGAGCTCTTGCAAATTGTAGCCTCTTTTTCCTATTTGTAGTGGAGATGAGTGGTACCCGGTGGGGTCTTCTGCTGTTGTAGCCCATCCGCCTCAAGGTTGTGCGTGTTGTGGCTTCACAAATGCTTTGCTGCATACCTCGGTTG